TATTGAAACCATTTGTTCATCTTCAAAGACATTCTGGCTCCACATATCTTCATAAACATTTTCCTTTCTCTATATCAGCTTATCTTTCATTTGTTTGACACAAACAACTCTCTGGTCATGCAAGTTCAAGGTCATAATAAACACACATGTAATATAATGATGATCAGAAACACTTCATTTATAATTTGTAGTTCAGGCTGTTGGTCTTTTTAGCATCTCACAGCAGCCTGGCAAACCCAGTTAAATAACAAAAATAAACATGTCTGTGTGAAGTGAGGCATATTCCATATCATGTGTATTTGGACACAAATTCACTAATAAATTGCTTTTAAATTTACCTACAAATAAGTGTAACAACCCAGTCTTTTTTTTTTCTTGTACATATAAATTAAATTTGCAATTCTACAATTTTTTCATGTGTTTTGTTGAAAGTTCATGTTTGTTGAAACAGAACTTAATCTTTATATTCTTGCAGTCTGAGGTCACTGCAGCAGTAATTCAAACAAATAACTTAAACATGGTTCTAAAACAACCAGTAAAACCTCCTGGATCTGCTCATTCTGGAAGGTTTAACTAACTAATTAAAGTTTATGCTCCTGTTATTGGTTAATTAATTAACAATATGTTATTATAATAGAGATTTGCTATGGTTAATTACACGCATTGTAACATTTGAATAATTAGACTATCAGTTATTATTCTACAATTTATAATGTAATAGGGGAAACAATTCTTTCCACCATGTTATTTTTAATCCATGTTTCTTTGATTAATATTACTTTGAAGAATTTTTAACAATAATATTGACACTAACAAGTTGAGCAGAAGGTCTGCAGAGGAAGTGGCAGATGGAGGAAGTTTTTGTATGAACCTCCTGCTTCCCTGTGTCACTGTGCCTCTCTAGCACAGTAATACACAGCTGTGTCCTCAGCTTTCAGCTGGTTCATCTTCAGATAGATTTTACTGTTGGAGTCATCTCTGGAGATGATGAATCTTCCCTGGACTGATTGGGAGTAAGATATTGGAGAACTGTAGGTGCCTATGTAGGCGATCCATTCCAGTCCTCTTCCAGGCGCCTGTCTGACCCAAGCCATGTAATAGCTGCTAAGCGTGAACCCAGAGGCCGTACAGGTCAGGGTGTGAGATTCTCCAGGTCTTTTAGTCACTGGTTCAGATTCTGTCAGAGTCTGACCACCAACACCTGCAAAAATATTAACACCTAACCCTGGGACTTTTTCGAGTCCCAGGCTATAACTAATTCCAACCTAATTTGACAAAAGATGTTCACCTGTCCAGCAGACAGCTAAGAGCAGCAGTGAAGTCCTGCAGTTCATCATGTTGAACTCTGTATCTTTTCTCTGCTGTTTCTCCGCTTCAGGGTGTTTAAAACATCATTAGTTCATCAGCTTTGCATGAACTGGTCCTCAGAGGGAGGAGATTGAATCATGTGATGTTTTGCTCGAATGGAAACAAGAAGTATACTGATTATACACACACACACACACACGCAGACACACAAATCCACAAACCTAATTAGTTTTGTTGTAGAATTAAGGTTTGCTGAAGAACTACCATCTTCATTATGAAATCTAAATAAAGACTTTGTTTTGGAGAAAAAGTTAAAAGTCCATTTAATGTTATTGATAGAGTTTTATTTTTAATTGGCTTTTTCATTGCCACAGTATTTAATAGTAATTCAGTTTTAAAATCAGCCGTTGTGTTGGAGCTCCTCTTCAAGTTCTAGCTCAAGTTTTTGAAACACTTGTTGAAAATTTTGAGCATCAAAAGCAACAAGTTAAAAACCAGCTGCTTCAGTTTAGTTTTATTACTTACACTTCTATCTTTTCCTTTCTGATATAAAAAAAATATGGAAGAGCTAAAAATTCTAATCATAAAAAGTAAGAAAAGATTTATTTGAAGACAAATATCAGTTCATGCAGTGAAACTTGAGGTCTAACAGATTAATGTTTATTGTTGCTGGAGGTTTTTGTACAGCTGCTCAACCAACTTCATTCACTGTGTCTGCCGAGCGCAGTAATAAACAGCTGAATCTTCAGTCTTCAGACTGTTCATCTGCAGATACAGCTGCTGTTTGTCGTTGTTTCTGGAGATGGTGAACCGGCCTTGAACTGATGCAGAGTATCACTGGCTGCTACCACTGGGCTGACTTACACCAGCAACCCACTCCAGTCCTTTCCCAGGAGCCTGTCTGATCCAGTGCATTATATAATCTGTGAATGTGAATCCTGAGGCGGTACCGGTCAGGGTGTGGGATTCTCCTGGTCTTTTAGTCACTGGTTCAGATTCTGTTAGAGTCTGAGCATGGCTTCCTATTATAAAAATTAAAGACGTAATTAATATGTTAGTAAGATAAAATAAAATATGTTCAAATAAATTCAGGGTAAATCATCACCTGTCCAAAAGACAGTTAAAAACAGCAGCCCTGTCCTGTAGTCCATCATGTTAACCTCAGTGTCTCTGTTGTCTGTAGGAACCTGCATAAATACAGCCGAGCTTTACATTAACTCCTCCTCACAGGAAGAAACGAGGCACTAAGAGAAATTTGAACATATGGATGAAAAACTATTGATCTAGAATCAGCATTTGTGTGACTTCTGCAGAATGATAGACAAAACTGTGTTGCTCAGTTGAACACAGGAAATTAAACATATTTATTTATTTTTCTTGACCGATTGAAGATTAGCTTGACTGGTATTATTTACAATTTTTGTTAGGTATTCTGACTTTATTTCTGCTGTTATTGATGATTATTCTCAAACCTTCCATGATCAACAAAAAACAAGGTTACAACAAGAACATTTTGAAATTAATCACAGTAACTGTCCATCTATTAAAACTGTAGACTCTTAAATGTTTAAGTCTTGCTAACATCAGTGATCTGAGGACACCTTCTGGTGAATGTTTGGTGATTTTGTTCATCTATAAATCTGGTTCGTGGATCAACAGTATAAGGGTGGACTTGTTTATTTATTTAGTAAAATTAAATAAGTTCTAGATAAAAACTGAAATCAATGTTCAGAAAACACTGCCAATATTTTCAGATTACTTTCAACAAAGATCAAAAGCTGTTTTTCTGTTCTTTTTATCCCTGCACCTACTGAATATTTTATAAGAGACAAATGCCTTTAGAGTTAGACATCTGTAAGTCATGATAATTAATATTGTATTTATGGCTAGTGTTCACTAGGTTGTGCTCAAAGAGAGAAGTCCTAACACCCTTATTTTGTGAAATATAATAAATAGATTAATTATGAAGTTATATAATTCATTTTGTATAAGTGCCTCACAGATGCACTCATATTTCTTCACATTAGATTGGATTTATGTTGTTAATGATAGGATAGAGATAATAATAATGTTTCATTCTTTACTTTGTCTCAGTGGTTCAGTGTAGTCGTTTTATCTCAGTACAGTAACAATCCCTCACAATTACATTGAAGACTTCCAGGCTTGAGGGGACTTGAGGTTTTTGTGCAGCTGCTGCATCACCTTCAGTCACTGTGCATCTCGAGCGCAGAAATAAACAGCAGAATCTTCAGTCTTCAGGCTGTTCATCTGCAGATACAGCTGCTGTTTGCCGTTGTCTCTGGAGATGGTGAACCTGCCTCGAACTGACTGAGAGTAGTATGTGTTGCCTCCACCATAATTGACAGCTGCAACCCACTCCAGTCCTTTCCCAGGAGCCTGTCTGACCCAATGCATCCAGTGGTCACTGAATGTGAATCCTGAGGCTGTACAGGTCAGTTTGTGTGAGTCTCCAGGTATTTTAACCACTGACTCAGATTCAATCAGACTCTGACCTTCAACACCTGCAAACCAAAGAAGCAAAACTGTAATTCTTATAATAAGAAAATTTCTCAGACAGATGAATGCTCTTTTAGTAATTCCTCACCCATAAAACAGAGGGCAACAATAAACAGTCCTGATCTGAGATCCATCATGTTTCAGAGTGGCTCTATGTTCTCCAAGAGCCGTTTCTCAGTAACTTAACTAAATCTGGAAGTTGAAGGTTTTGCATTGACTCCTCCTGCTGAGGAAATGAAACTCAGAGCTAAGAAGAGTTTAACAATTTTCTCACTTCTCTTTAGTATTTGATCCTTCTACAATTTGGTCATTAGAGATTAGATTTATATTCTTTACATACATGATTTCTTCATCACATTAATAAGTTATTTTTACTTTGTGTTATTTTTTTAATATCTGGCCTTTTTGTCATTATTTTTTGTGATAACTTTATTTTCTTTAAAGGAAGTCAGGTTGAGATGAGACTTTGTAAAAGAGATAATAGCAACATATTTTTTTTACAAATCGCCAGACAAATTATAATTACATAAAATAATCATTAATACATAAAAGGAAAGCAAAAAGCATTACAGAACACTGTGATGGATGGATGGATGGATGGATGGATGGATGGATGGATGGATGGATGGATGGATGGATGGATGGATGGATGGAAGGATGGATGGAAGGATGGATGGATGGATGGATATTTTGCAAATTAAATAAACTCCATGACTACAATATGTGTGACTGTTATTTAAAAAGGTGAGGGGAGTACTAGATACAAATTATTTTATCAATATTATGTTTTGGTTGTTTATTAATTCATTGCTTAAAAAACACATTGAGATGGGAGATTTTTCGATTTTGATTTTGTTGGATAACAACAAACCTCAGGTCAAAATTATTTTATAACTTTCTGGGTTTGTTAATATTGTGAAAGTGATTCAAATAAAACATCAAAATTATATTATGAACAAGAAGTTACTTGTGCTCAAACTTTTTTGTAATAATGGACATTTATTGACCTAATTTCTCTCACATACACCTTACATATAAACAAAATGGATCTTCTTGCAATCCGAATTCAGTCAGGTATGATCGAACACAAGCCTGTTATGCTTATTCTTATCTTTGTCTCAGTGTCAGATTGTTTACATTTACAGTCTTACACTGACAGATATTAAAAAACTCTGTCCAGATGAAGGCACTGAGGTTTTTGTACAGCTGCTGAACCGACTTCAGTCACTGTGACTCGCGAGCGCAGAAATAAACAGCTGAATCTTCTGTTCTCAGGCTGTTCATCTGCAGATACAGCTGCTGTCTGCCGTTGTCTCTGGAGATGGTGAAGCGGCCTTGAACTGACTGAGAGTAGTATGTGCTGCCACCGCCCGGGTGAATTAAAGCAAGCCACTCCAGTCCTTTTCCAGGAGCCTGTCTGACCCAGACCATCCAGCGGTCACTGAATGTGAATCCAGAGGCTGTGCAGGTCAGTCTGTGAGATTCTCCTGGTCTTTTTACTGCTGGTTCAGACTCTGTCAGAGTCTGACCATCAACACCTATAAAACAACAAATAAAGCACAGTTTTAGTTTGGTGATCATTCACCAAAGACAGATTAAGTTCTGTTAGCATTTCACACCCATCAGAGAGATGAATAAAAGGAGAAGTGCTGATCTGTAGTCCATCATGATCCAGTGTGCTACTTGTTGTCTGACGATGGTCATATATTCATGGCTGGAAGTGACTGAAGTTTTGCATTGACTCCTCCTGCAACAGAGGGAGCAACACAAGCTTGGACTGAACTATTAATATAATAGTTGCTATTATTACCATTTCATGCATTTTGACAGTTTTTTATCTTAACTGAATGAATCATTATCTTTCTGAAATCTAGTCATCGAAACTTTATTAATTATGCTGATAACTACGAGAAAAAATTAAAGAAAATTATCTGGCTGGTAAATTAAAGAAAAATAAGCAAAAATAGACTGCATAACAAAAGTTTCATATTTACATATACTTTAAAACATGTTGTAAAAAAAGAGGTTTGTTGTATTAGGTTTATAAATTTAGCTTTTAAAATTTCAACTCTCAACTTGCTTTTTCAGGATTATTTGAAAACTCCTATGTAAACCACTGGTTCAGTTGTGTTCATATTTGATCACCAGTACCAGTAACAATAAATAAGCTTAATAAGCAGCCATTAATAATGACATTTGCATATTAAATAAAATGCAATGTAAAGTTAAATTATAAGCATAGAGATTCTACTTCGTCTAAGTTGTTGAAATTTTTAAATGATACATTTATCGTAAAAAGAAAAACTATGACAGTATTATATCTGTCCATAAATACCTACAACAATGCATAAACTGGGCCACAAGCTTAAGCCAAACAAAATGTTTTCTTGTTTAACTGAATGATAAAAGCAACAGTCTCATCCTTTACTCCATTACTCCATAGACTTAAAAAAGACGGCATCGTTCTACAGAGATCAAAAGACTGGGAGTACATGAGTTTATTATCTTTATTATGACAACTTGCAGAAAACAAAATTCTCTAAAAGTCACAATTTAATTCCCCAGCAGATACTTAGGCATACCACCCTCAGAAATGGTTACATGTCTAAGTGTTGTTCCTCAAGAATAATTTTAAGGGTGCTGCATATTCTTTCAAGGTTATAAGACTGCTGTCATTTCTTCTCAAACTTTAAAAACATTTCCAAAAGTCTTTAATTGAAGTACACTAAAGATGACTATGTGTTAGAGAAAGTACTCTGTAAAGTAAAGAGATCACCTGTGAAATGAAAACAAAGATATAGAAATGTGTGTTCCTGGTATTATTAAGGTCTGAGGCCCCCTGGTGGTGACTTGCTCCAACATTTATTCTGATTCTCTGGGGTTTTTGTTCAGCTCCTCATATAGTCTGTGTCACTGTGGCTCTCTGTCTTGCACAGTAATACACAGCAGTGTCTTCTGGCTGCATGTTCTGTCCATTTAGAGTCACTCTACTGTTGGAGGAGTCTAAGTCGACACTAAACTTGCTTTGTAGCGAATCTTTGATAGCTGTGTCTCTACTGATCCACTCCAGTCCTTTTCCTGCAGGCTGTCTGATCCAGTGTGTGTAGTCTCTATCGATAGAATAAGAGACATGACAGGTGATGCTCACGCTTCTCCCAACCTGCACAGTCATGGAGGGCGGCTGGTTCAGCTGTTCACCTTTTAAACCTGCAAAGAAGGATTTACTGTGTGAGATTTTTAACACAGACAAATTGATGGTTGTAAATAATCCAGAAAGACTTACTTGATACAGAAACTAGGAGCAGAAGCAACAGGGTTGAGGAGAACATGATTGCTGCAGGTGCAGAGAGAACATCTGATCCTCTTTTAAGGTGTGTGAAGTGAACTCAAACAAGTCACATGATTTACATAAAAAGACAGCGGGAGGCGTTAACTTAAGTTTATCTGAGACAAAGACAAATCTCTGTTAGAACACAAACATGAACTCCTAACATCTACTAAATTAATGGGATACAAGGGAACATGGCATAACATATATATTTTTTCCCCTTTTCGGATGAGATTACATTGGTTAATCTCATTGCTATTATTTTATGTTTTAATCCACAAATGTGGAGAACAAACTGAACATCAAAAGATAACTAAGTGATAAAGGATTTATAAACAAAACTGGAAAAGTCAACAAATGAATGTCTGGTTTTGGTGAAAACAGTTTTGGTGGTTTAAGTCTATTTAATGTTTTGTGTTGCAATTGGCAATAGTTTTCATTATTCAAATGTTGAGTATTTTACCTTTATGGGTCCACTATGACACATTTCAGTAAATGTTTCTGCGCAAGATTTTATATTAAAACTTTTGATGATTATAAGTGTGCAAAAAAATCCTAAAATACATTCATATATTTAACAAAAATGTGTTAGTTGTAGAAGAAGTAGTAGTTTGTTGTTGTGAATTGGATTATCTTAATTAGCGTGCATGACTCATCTTCACAAAGAAAATTCATTTCTCTGTTATAATGTTAAGTTCACAACAATTTCCTCATATCATTGAAATTATATTTCCATTGAACTGATTAACAGAAAACATGTCACATTTTATTTATTAAATTCACATGGAAACAGTTGTATGTTTTGCATTTTTAATTATAGTTAAATTACTAAATAAATTCAAATACTTTCATGTATAAATATGTGCATTGTGGGATGCATTTCTCATTCATCTTTTTTCTGTTACAGATTCATATCAGGGGATTTTGTACAGCGACTGAACCGACTTCAGTCACTGTGGTCGCCGAGCACAAAAATAGACGGCAGAGTCTTCAGTCTTCAGACTGTTCATCTGCAGATACACCTGCTGTTTGCTGTTGTCTCTGGAGATGGTGAACCTTCCTCGAACTGACTCAGAGTAATATTTGCTTGTGACATCGATAGTTGAAACCCACTCCAGTCCTTTCCCAGGAGCCTGTCTTACCCAAGCCATCAAGTAGCTGCTGAATGTGAATCCAGAGCCTGTACAGGTCAGTTTGTGTGAGTCTCCAGGTCGTTTAACAGCTGGATCAGATTCTGTCAGAGACTGATTATCAACACCTGCAAGGAGAAGATAAGAGTTTGAAAAACTATCTGCATGTACAAACTGAAAATTGATCTAAACTGAGAAAATGTGGGGGAAAAAAAGCTTGAATATTTCACCTGCAAAGCAGATAGTTAAAAGGAGCAGCCCTGTCCTGTAGTCCATTCTGCTAAACAGGTTCCTGTTGTTCCTAGTCAGCCCACCTACAGTCAAATATATACAGTAGCTCTGGATGACATCCTGCACTGTACGGCTCCTCCTGATTGGACAAAGACTAAGCAGCATATTTGTTTTGTCATATTTGTAGTGTCATATTTGTCTACCTTGAATAAAACTTCTTCTTTTTATGTAAATTATTGGGTATTTGGATGCTATTCTTCAAATAAAATCTGTGAAAATCTTGTATTTATTTATATGAAAACAGTGCATGTCATATTACAATTCTTAAGGCCAACAAATAAAAAAAATTAAACGGATGTGTGACCAGAAATGAACAATAATCATTGGTTTAAAAACCAAACATCATGAATAGATTTATTTATTTAACAAATTTTTTGTTGTTTCATACAATAAATTTGGGTGACATACAATAAAGAAATACCATTGCTTCCAAAGAGACGCTGTTTCAAATAGGGAATATGTGAGAATGCCAATAAATAGTCAGCCTGACTGAAAATCTGAGAAGATATAAACTATTGACTGATAAGCTCAACACAAATACAATAAACACCAAAGAAAATCAGAGAGTAAATATATAATGCCATTGAGCTCATTTATTCACGTCTGCAACACGAAACAAATATGAGAAAACACAGATTATATCTGTTGAAAATATTCATCACTTCTTGAAAAGTAAATGACCAATTATAATGTTTTCTATTGATGCGTAGACTGAGCCGTTCTACGGTCAGCACTGCCACCATCTGGTGACAGAGAAAACATTCTCTCTTGTCCAGCCTCTCCACCTGCTTTTGCCACAGTAATACACAGCAGAGTCCTCTGGCCTTAAGCTAGACAGTTTCAGGTTCATCATGCTGTTGCTGTTGTCTCTGGTGATTTGTGTCCGACTTTGTAAAGTGCTCAAATAGTCTGTTCGTCTTGCATTATGATAAATACGTCCCATCCATTCCAGTAATTTTCCCACCGGCTGTCTGATCCAGTGCACATCATAGGACCCGAATGAGAAGCCGGATCCTCTGCAGGAGAGACTCAGAGTCTCTCCTGGCCTTTTCATCACTGCACTGGAGGGAATGGACTCCATTCTCTGACCTGTAGAACCTGGCAGGATTATGGAAACACAAGGAATTACACTGGTGAAATTGAGGATATTCTCCAGAGGATGTTCTTTAGGATCTTCTTCAGTTTTACAGAAGAGAATGAAAATGTAAATATTGTTTGGTGAAAGAAAATTTAGAAAGTGGAAGAACTCACAAGGCAGAGACAGAGCAAGCAGCAGAAGAATGAATGAACTATGTTGCTGTTCATTTCCTTCAGTGTTGTGGTGAGAAAATCTTTAAATGTTTTGTGTTTTGTTTGGATTTCATTACATCTCCTGCACAGTAACACAGACATATTAAGTACTAAATTAGACTAACTCTATCTCTTAATTCATGTCTGTACAAAAGAGATTAAATTAAACACAGTTTTGTTTTTCCTAAAAAAAACAAAACTGCTTATTATGAAAAACTGTTCTATGGAGAACATATACTTTATGATGATCACCATGCTTTTTCAAGCACCAAAAGTTTTCCTTATTTGTTCCTTCTTCCTCTCTCTCTCTCTTTGTGTGTCTCCACATTTAAACCAACATCTCAGATCCACATGGGTTTGTTGGCATTAGATTACATTTACATCCCTTAAAACATTTTACTTTAGTTGTTTATTCCTCTCCTTCTCTTAGTATATCTATTTACATGCAGCTATTATATCGTTGTCAGTGTCACAAAGGGGAAAAAAGCTCCGGGGACTTGAGGTTTTTGTGCAGCTGCTGAACCAACTTCAGTCACTGTGTCTCTCGAGCGCAGAAATAAACAGCAGAATCTTCTGTTCTCAGGCTGTTCATCTGCAGATACACCTGACTTCTGCTGTTGTCTCTGGAGATGGTGAACCGGCCTTGAACTGACTGGGAATGATATGTGTTGCCACCATCACCCCTGATATCAGCGAGCCACTCCGGTCCTTTCCCTGGACTCTGTCTTATCCAGGACATCCAGTAGTCACTAAATGTGAATCCAGAGGCTGTGCAGGTCAGTTTGTGGGATTCTCCAGGTCTTTTAACCACTGGACCTGATTCTATCAGACTCTGGCCATCGACACCTGTTAAACAATGGAGGCATGAAGTAAAGTTCTTGTTAGAAAACAGTTTCTGAAAGACAGAATAAAGCTCTGTCTGCATTTTCTCACCCATAAAGCAGATGATAAAGAGAAACATTACTGAGTTGTAGTCCATTTTGGTCCAGTGTGCTCTTTTGTCTCTGACAGTGTTTTTACAGCCGCACATATATGGCTGGGTTTAAAGATTTGCATTGACTCCTCCTGACAGGGAGGGAGAAGAAATAACACATAGATTTGTATGTGAAACTCATTCTATGACTGGATTTGCTGCAGCTCATATAGTTTCATGACTCTCTTTCTTTTTTTCACCCTAAAGTGGTCAATTGAGATTATTCTGCTGATGTTTTCTCTCACTGAAAGATGTCAGTGTTAATCAGCAGTCAGACCAAAAATGTGAGAGATGTAAGAGATTTAAAATAAAGTTTATTATTGGAAAACTCATTTCAAGACTTGAGTTTTCCCAGTTTAGGATGCTGGATTTTATGCATGTTTGATCAATGCTATATGAGTAATTATTTTTGAAAGACAATGTTTTCTAATTTTAGATAGTTTAGTCTAAAAGCAGCTGTCAGAATAATTAATGAGCATGTCCCCAGTTGACATATGAAACAAAGTAATATTATAATTGTCACACCTGCCTTTTTGTGTGTGTACATGTTTTAATATTTATCTACTGAAGAGTAAATTAAGAAAATGTTATTTCATTTAAAAATATCCTACTTAAAAAAACAATACATTTAGTTTTTTTTATAAAGTTTTGATCTTCATTTAATACCAATATCTTCAGCAATATATTTTAGAGATATTGTTAAATATATTGCTTAAAGACAGTAATGTCTTAAAGATATAGCTATTTCTTATATATCAAGCTTAAAGTCAAGAAAAAATTAAACCAAAACTGCAGTTAATGAATCTTTTTTGTAAGTTTTATTCTGACTATAGTCAATATATGTCAGTGTGATATAAACTTATAGATTAGTTAGTTATTCTAATATTAGAATAGCTGAACAAAAATGGGAAAAAATAATTCATGAAAATCTATAGTCCTATTGTTGTTTAGTCAACACTGCCACCATCTGGTCATTGAGGAAATATTTTTCAGTGCAGGTTTTGTTCTGTCTCTCCACCTACTTTATTACTTTGCTTATGTGGCATAGAAATATACAAAAGAGTCATTAGCACTTAAAAAGTCAGTGTAAAATACATCATGCTGTTGCTGCTCTCTCTGATTTGTATTTTAAACCTGTTACAATAACTTGTCCCACTTCCCTCTGTGAACATATATCCCACAGTTTGTCTGATCCAGTTTATTTGACAGCATCCAAATGAGACGTCAGATTCTTTACTGAAAATCACATGCTTAGAGTACAAAGCTGCACTTCTTTGTACTGGAGTTTTTTAAATATAAATTATAAATATTTTGTGCTAAATATGTAAGGAGCTTAAACAGATAAAGCAATGTATGATTTATGCATGATAAAATTCTTAAGTTAGATACATTAACCAGTTGTTAGAATTGAAACATCATCTTACACTTTACCTTTTCTTTACTTATTTTACAAAAAAAGCTGATTTTGAAACATTCGTATTCATTATGTTAAATGTTTTGCACCTTATGCAAAAGTCATAGCTTTTGCATTGAAGCTTATTTTTAAAATGATATATTTTAAAATAAAAAACATAAACTAAAGAACTGTCGGTTTTACAGACAAGTCTAACAAAGAAAATAAAACAATCCACTAGATAACTTTGAGTGGATTGAGGTTTTTGTACAGCTGCTTAAACAACTTCAGTCACTGTGTGTCTCGAGCGCAGTAATAAACAGCAGAATCTTCTGTTCTCAGGTTGTTCATCTGCAGATACAGCTGATCTCTTCCATTGTCTCTGGAGATGGTGAACCTGCCCTGGACTGACTGTGAGTAGTACTTGCTACTACCACTGCCACTGCTGATAAAAGCGATCCACTCCGGTCCTTTTCCAGGAGCCTGTCTGATCCAGGCCATCCAGTAGCTGCTGAATGTGAAACCAGAGGCTGTGCAGGTCAGTTTGTGAGATTCTCCTGGTCTTTTTGCTGCTGGTTCAGATTCTGTCAGAGTCTGACAATAAATGCCTGTGAAGCAGAAACATATAGTCATTGCAAGAAAATAGTTTGTCAAAAGCAGATTAAACTTCTGTCTGCAATTTCTTACCTGTAAAGGAGATGATAAAAATCAACAACCCAGATTTGTAGTCCATCATGTTTCAGTGATTCTTGCTGTCTGACAGCATTTCCACAGTCCCACTAATAAAGCTGGAAAACACAAAGTTTTGCATTGACTCCTCCTAGCAGGGAGGGGGGGAGTTCAAACTCAGATTTAAGAGGTAAACACATTTTCTAAACAATCTGACACATCTTTCATGGTGGAATTTAGTTATCACTCTGAAAATACATAATTAAGTTAATAATAGGAATGCATCTTTTGCAATGGCAAATTAATTTTATTTACGTATTTTTTATTTTTTATTTTTTTGCTTTCAGTCAGGTCACTAAAATCGATGCTAGTCAACCTGACAAAATGGCATGTCATGAATCTTTATTATTTCATCTTTAACATTTCTGTTTCATAATGAAACTATTCTTATAATTGTTGACCAGCTTTTTGCGTGCTTGTACTGATATTTTTCACAATTTATCTTTGCAGTGGGTATATTTCTTTTTCACACGATTGTTCATGTTTCATCAAAAATAAAGGTCTTCATAGAGGAGAAGCAAAACACAAATATATATATATATATAT